CACACACACACACACACACACACACACACACACACACACACACACACACCTGCACTGAGATCACTGCAGCAACAAGATGCAGTCGTTGCTCACATCTCTCCCTCCACAGGAAGTTCAGGAAAACTTTTTCAGTTCCTAATCCTGCAAAACAAAGCAACACTAAAGCACCCCCCCCCCCCCCCCCCCACACACACACACTGAGTTTTGAAGGAATCTGAAGGAAATCAGATCTGAGCACGTTGTCATAACATTTACAGTTCGGCTTGGGATGAATAATTTATGATTTGTTGGGAAGAAAGTGACCCCAACACTGCAGGCCTTAAAGATGCAGCTTCTTCTTCTTCCTCTTCCTCCTTCTTCTTTCAGCTTTCCCTCTTCAGGGGTTTCATCAGCGAGTCATCCTCCTTCATCTCACTCTGTCCTCACTCCAACTACCTCCTTGTCCTCTCTAACTGCATCCAATTATCTCCTCTTTGTCTTTTTCCTGACAGCTGCATTTCTAACATCCTTCTACCAATATACCCACTGTCCCTCCTCTGGACATGTCCAAACCACTGTCCCTCCTCTGGACATGTCCAAACCACTGTCCCTCCTCTGGACATGTCCAAACCATCTCAGTCTGGTCTCTCTAACTTTATCTCCCAGTTATTCAACCTGTGCTGTACCTCTGGTGATCTTATTCCAAATCTTATCCATCCTTGTTACTCCTAAGGAGAACCTCAACATCTTCATTTCTGTCAAAGAAAAAGCTAAACAGGTACATTTAGGAAAACTGGCTTGAGCCCTAAAGAGATAGTTCAGCTGTTTTGAAGAGTGTTTTAGTGGAAAAGTTATAACTAACTCCAGGAATGACCGTACATTTTTGGAGAAAATACAACATGAATGCTGAATGTTGGATGAAACTTGTTAAAGAAGTTGAGACTGAGAGGTAAAATCTAAAGCAAGCTAAACAGAAGCTAAAATTAGCAAAAGAGAAGCCAAAGGCTAAGATTAGCTAAACAAAAGGTGAAGAATAAAGTTAGCAAAACTGTATCAAAAAGCATGGACTTTGTTGTATCTAAAAGTTTAAATGAGCACAAGAGTAGCTAAAGCTAATAGTGACACTGCAATAGCTACGTACTAAGATTAGCTAAACAGTAGCTAAAACCTCAAATTTAAAATCTCCATTTGTTTCAATGAAACCAAAAAAGTTAAATATTTACACAAATCTAAATTTGCAAAAACTAAGTCAGATATTTTTTGAATAAGCTGAACGTTTTGATAACTGAGAGGTGCTGAATGTTTGCTGTGGTTGTTAAATGGCAACAACTTTACGGAGGAAAGAGGAAAACAATGGTGTGAATGCCGACTCAGCATTCACACTGTGTGTACTATATATATGCAGAAGCTAGCCGTAGCACTTCCAGCACAGCCTGGGGCACCTTCAGCACACATCAATATTTTTGGTGGAATATTTGTGTAAAGTCAAACTGATGGCTGTGTGAAGGTTGATAAAATAGTGTTTACATGAACTGTAGAAAGGATTTTGAGATGGGGGTTGTTTTAATTCATGAAGCGATCTTCAGAATGTCTCTCGATGTTCTCTTGGCTTGAGTCACTCCTGTATTATTGCTTGAACTTGAACATATCTAGATATCTTGACTGCCTTGTTCCAGGACGGAGACGTATTCTGGTCACTTTGGTCCATTGAGAAGACACACCGAGGCAGCGGGTGGGGGGGTGGGGGGTGTTGGAGTCAGACTGCCAGTACCTTTGATGCACCTCTGTGCCACTGAGCTGGTCGTGTGAAAAACATTCTAAGATCCATGGAGCTGCGGCTCAGTAATGTGATGAACTGATGATATTATCGGTAGTTGTGATCGCCCACTCATGGGATTAAACAACAGGAAACAGATTTATTACCGAGGGAACATTGATGATGACACACACCAACTTTGTAGTTAGTTTTAAAAAGTAGTTAACCACAAAGAGGATCGATAAAGTCAGTGGGCGGAGGTGGGAAACAAACAAACAAAACAACAACAATTAAATAAAAAAAAACAGAATACAGTTTTGAACCCAAAATAAAAACAACTAATCAGAAATCTCTTGCTGGTCCCTTGGTTGCCCCCAGAGTGAGACTGAAGTTGTAAAGTTGCCAGTTACTGGCCATATTGATTGAAAAAGCCATCAACTAGTCTCTGACGGTTACAGGTCAGTGATGATGCAAAGAGCTATGAGCTATCTACAACAGGTACGACACTATTTGTTCTTATTATTTCCACAGTACCGCGTGGAGTCTGTCAGACTTGAAATCAAATGGAAACCTGGAGTTGTGTTTCTGTTTAAATGAAGTAGTGGATGTGCGTGTGTGAGGATGTGCGTGTGTGAGCATGTGCGTGTGCAGCTGATACTCACTGAGGTTCACGAAGCTCATCACCGTGTCTGCGTCGTCCAGGAAGCGACGGTCCTGCGGGGTCAGACCAGCCGAGGCCTGGCTCAGTAAGACGGCCTTGTAGTAAGAATACCCACGCGCCTCTGCCTCCGTGGACACGGTGTTGTACAGATCCAGCATGAACGCCGGGGCGGCGTTGCGTTTGGTGTGCGTGAGGGGCCGCGGCCGGTGCGGGAGGCCCAGGATGGAGAGGATCTCCCGCTGGATGTCCCTGCGCTCCTGGCCGCGCAGCCGCCTCTGGAGGAAGCTGGAGCGCACCTCGGCGTCCACGGACACGTTGGAGAAGGCGAAGCCCGCAGCCAGCGCGCAGCCAGCCCACGGCAGGAGGAGGAACGCGCACGTCGCCACTGCGCTCGGATACATTTTTCTTCCAAGTTTTACGCGCGGCTCTGAGCGGCTGAAAGATGAGGCTGGAGGTGTGGTGCTTTCAGGGGGGAGGCAGGGGACATGTGGAGAGGGTGAAACACGCCTCCCTCCATCAGTCGCGCGCTCCTCTTCGACTTCGGAAAGGAGGACTTTACTGCACCACGGGAGGGGTTCAGAGGGGGACAAATGGAAAAGAATGGGACAGTAATGTTCTGGAGTTTCTCATGTGCGCGTCACCTGTTCAGTTTGGATAAGCTCCTTATTGAAATCTTTCATCTTTGCATCCTGCAGTATTTTCTCTTGTGCCATTTCCATTTTACCCACAAAGCAGATCTGTTGCCTCTGCTCCACACAGGCAGAAAATCAAACCCCAAACGATCCGTCTGAAGGTAAAGACAGCAAATCCCATAATCCCTTTAAAGCGCGCACAGAAACCTTTTGAAGTGGAACAGTAAAGTCGGGCCCAGTCTAATTACTGATCAGCAGCAGTCTGCATGCAGGATGGGACATGCCAACAGCCCCAATCACTGCAGCAATCTGTGCACAGAGCAGTGTTTTAACAGGGGGAGGTGAAGGGATGGGGGCAGATGATGAGGGGGGAGTGCTTTACAGGTTGAGGGCAGAACTTCAGCTGTTACACTAAAGGGAGCTGGAGATTTCCATGAGTGATTTTATGCTTAAAAGAAAGTCATATGAAAAGGAAATCAAAGTTAAAATCAGCAGCAGACACTCAACATGTTTATCCAGCTCAGGTCACATGACTCACCACTAAAACTCACAAGTCTGCCACAAACATCTGTAAACATCCCTCAATGCAACGCAAGAGACTTTTAAAGTTCTTTGAAATAAAATATATTTAGGCCCTGCAACATGTAAACAGCTGGGGTTTTTTTTTCACTTTGTGTTTCCATGATGGATGTAATAACGTTTGTTTAATCTAAAAGGCTCTTTGTGTTCAGAGATGAGGAGATTAAATAGTCTGCACAGTTTAAATACACATGTAGATGCTTCTGTTATTGATGTTTTTACAGAAGCAGTGAAATAGCATTATCTTTGGGGGAAATCTGTGATAAATCTTAAATGAGTGGATTTTATTAAACAGGCATATTCCAAGATGGAAATCAGGTTCAAACTGTGAAAAATTGATTTAGAGGCTATAAAACATAAATTGTTACTATGGTGAGCTATTTTAAAGTGTTTAAACACATTTTTTTATTATTTAAATACAGATCTGGATGCCTTTTTTTAAATGACAAAGTAATTAGCATAATTAAAAAAACAGATTAAATCTGTTTTACTTCTTTTAGCTCTTTTTATTACTTTTGTCTGTTAACTTTTGATCTTGTTTTGTGGCATGTGCTGATCTTCAGTGCTGATTTGAGCTTCTGTCTGTCTTGACTCTCCTGTAAAAAGTGGTTTTAAATCTCAAATGTTTAAAGTTAAATAAATAAATTTAAAGTAGCTGACTTCAGGTCTGTTTATGAATCTTTACATTAGTGGCCATTACACAGCAGTGTAGATCTCTCATTATTTAACAATATTGTGGGAAAATGAACACAACTGCTGATTGAAATACTTGGTGGAACATTGAATAGATGCTGCAACTGATATTTATGTGGACTACAGATATGTTCAAGAAGAGTTCTGCATTAATAAAGGAAAAAAATCAACAATAAATTGGCAATTAATTTGTGTTTTTTAAGATTGTGTGCTTGTTTGCTGATTATGTGTTTCTTCTAAACTTATCACACGCTCAATGTTTACGTTTAATATTTTCTTCTCTGTATTGTGAGTTGTGTCATGTTTTGTATTTTTGTTATTTCAGTAATAGGTGAGCTTGCTTTCACTCAAGCTATGATTATGAGTGATTTTGCTTTAACAAAAATTTTGTTTATCATTTTCTCAAAGTTCAGTTTGCATTCAGATTATGACACACAGAGCATATAGAGCGACTGGGCAGAAGATCTAGAGAGGATCCTTAATTATGTGCAGTAAAGAAATTAACACAATGAGTTTTAAGGTTTGGTAGAGAAAATAATTGTTTGATTTATTTTTCATAGAAACTGGTTCAGATCAAGCCTTCTGTTTATCGGTGTGTCCTTCCCTGCTTGTCCAGCAGGTGGCAGCACCTAACCACTAGAAGAGTTCGACAACAACTCAACAAAACACAGAAGAAGAAGACGCACACTGCAGCAAACACATTTTAAGGAAAAGCTGCTCATTTCCCCTTCACTGATCAACTTGTTTCGTGATTTTAAAGCTGTAAACCTTCAACCAGAGGAAACGTTTTTAAGGTTTGTGTGTCCGAGCAGTTCAGCGGCGCTGCAGCTCAGGTTTCTGTCAAAAGTGTCGGAAAGATTTAGACTAGAAAGCCGACACAGCTAATATGGCTATGAATGTAAACACTTTTTATATTTTTTCAGACACACATAAACAACCGAATAGGTTCGTGGAAATACAGATTTTTGTTAAATACCTCACACTACTAAATATATATTTTTATCAGTTTGTTTACAGCAAAGAGTCAGTCCGCGGTAGTTAGCATCAACGTTAGCTGTTAGCTTAGCTGAAACCTGCTCGTTGTTTTCAATTTATTTAAAAGCAAATCCGTTGTCTGATTAAGTTTATAACGTAATTAAATACACAAGTCGCTTTATTTATGTCGCATCTTTTTTGGGTTTAGATGTCAGAGATAAAATGTTTAATCAAATAGTCTGGGCTCATTTAAAATATAATTTCTGAACCAGAGACTAAACAGACCTGCTAATGCAAAAAGTGACAGTAATCCAACAAGTTTATAAAAGTGTTTGAAGGACCAAGGATAACCATCAGATTACTGTCATTTAATGGTCATCCAGCATTTCACCCCCTCCTCATTCAAAGTAATCTTATGATGGGGTTCTCAGGTGTTCATAATGATTTATTTGTCTCGTTTGCACATCTGGGAGCTGAAATGTTGTACTGAAGTAATGCCTTAAGGGTTTGTGTGCAATGTGAATAAAATTGGCTCAAATATGGATTCTTGAGGAATGCCTCAACTGACTGGCGCTGCAGAAGAGAAGTTTATAATTTCCCTGAGAAAGATCTGGCTCATAAATAAAGTGAACCACTGAAGGACAGGACCCTGAATCCCAACCTTTTCCAGACCATGAGCTAAAAATAATGGCATTGATTCTAAAAGAATGTCATTATTGATAGAAAAAGTTACATAAACTGTTCTAGAAAGAATTATCTTTGAGACAGGTGATATATTTGTCTTAAATAGGACAAAAGACATTCTTTAGATGTTACTTTTGACTTGGAAGAATTGAAATGTGCGTATCTGCTTTGAAGATAATTTCCAACTGTTAAATGATAAATAAGCTTGTCCTAATCCATTTGTCTTTTCCTTCTAGGTGTACGTTGGTGGTGATTTTAATGCAGGATGAGTTTGTTTGGAACGAACACCAGTTTTGGAACAGGAGGGACTGGAGTCTTTGGGAGCACAACTACAGACAGCCATAACCCCATGAAGGTAAACCAGCTGCCCATGATAGGAAACACGGGTGTAGTGAACCAGATGACCTCAAATCTACCAGATGGACAGAGACTGTTATTTTCATTGATCTGAATAAGTCTGGGCCATCTGATGACTTTCTTTCTTGAATTAATCAAGCAGAAAAGACAATTCTTTATAATCATTACTGTCTTACAAATGTTTTGATAATCAAATTGTGTTAGTTCACTCAATGCTTTACAGGTTGAAAAGAACTACTCATTTTTATTTTACATAAACAGTAAGTAATGATTTTTATTCCTCATTCAGAGAAGAAATCACCTGAATAAGCATTTCTTGATTTTCTGTCTGAAATGAGTCAAGTCGTAAGTGTGTGAAAGTTGAAACTTCGGTCAGCTAAATGTTTACTGAAGAAGAAATGTCATGTTTAAACTTTTTCAGAAGATTACCAAGAGTTGGCTCCACGAAGTCTGCTTTTTGCAATAATCTCTCTGTCAGTTGTTAAACAAATTTCATTCTCTGACCTCGACTTTTGATAAACACCTTACGTCAAAACCACTCCTCTTTCTGGTCCATCCACGAATCAGAAAGCTCTGAAGTAAACCCGGAAGTAAACTCATTTAAAATGTGACAACTTCCCGGTTCTGTAGTCTGGAAAGAATAGAGAGGCTAGAGCAGGCAAGAGAGCAGCAGTCTCAGTCGAGAGTGCAGTAGATTCTGGAGAATGGAAAAGTTCTGAAGGAGTTCAGAAGAGAACTAGAGTTATGGAGAGTTTTGGAGTTGCCGAGAATCCAGAGACGTTTGGAATTATAATTTCTGTTTGAGCTAACCACGCACGACTCTCCAAGGATTTTAGCTGGTCTCAACGGAGACGCTGATATCAGTTGAAAAGGATTCTTACTGAGGTGATCGATCTTCAACAAGGTAAAACTTCTTCTTCGACCAAGTGTACCGTGGGCAAAGCTGAGATACCTGATGGGAGCGTGCAACTTCTGGTCAAACAGATTAAATTCCCTTACATAGTTCTCTGTAAGATAATCTCCTTTCATCTTAAACTCTTCTCTCTCACAAAATCAGTACAGATATTTTAGAAATATCTGAAGCAAAGTCCTCAAATCACCGCCGAGTGATTTGAAGTTCATTTTCTGTGAAACTGTCTGTTATTATTTTCATATTTTGCCAAATTAATGTAAATGTTTGATGTTAAACTTTGATTCTGAAAATAAATGACTCCATTCATTTGATGGGTCAAAGGTAATAACGTCTCTCGTTCGCATTCCTTTAAATTCAATGCACGGCATTACACAGTCAGAAAAATGAAGAACTCGTGAATATAGTATGCATATAAACGGGGATATATTGTCATACTACAACTAGTGACACGTACCCACGTGACTCACTACACGGGTTGTATAAATCATGTTATTGACTCACTGCATTCTGCACCCTCACCTTTTGACTTCTCTGGTTCTTTCAGGACGTGGAAGTGACGTCACCACCAGATGACAGCATTAGCTGTTTGGCCTTCAGTCCCCCAACCATGCCGGGAAACTTCCTCATTGCAGGGTCTTGGGCTAATGATGTGAGTCATTTATCCAATCATAATCCATCCATCCATTATCTTTACCCGCTTATTCCATTTTGGATCACGGGGGTCGCTGGTGCCCATGTCCAACAATCACTGTGCGAGGGGTGGGGTACACCCTGGACGGGTCGCAGGTCCATCACAGGGCCACATAGAGACAAACGAGACAAACAACCATTCACTCTCTCACTCACACCTAGGGACAATTTAGAGTTACCAATCAGCCTAACATGCATGTTTTTGGTCTGTGGGAGGAAACCGGAGCACCCGGAGAAAACTCCAATCATAATAATAAACACAAACTTGGTGAATAATGTCAACAAAACAAAAGATAAAGCTTTAATTATCATTTATGTAGTTCCTAAATTGACCTGGAAATATGGAAACTGAAATAGGCTGAATTCAATTAGCTACCAGGAATGGGTTGGTAACCTTTTTTTTTTAGTCCAGACATACTGAGAAGAGGAACAAAACTCACTTTTGTGTTTTGAAAACCATTTTTGTTATCATGTTTATAAAGTAACAAAATTATTTGCTGTATTTCAGAAAGGAAAACATTTCAGGTGCAATTTAAGGGATTTTTTTTTTTTTTTGTCATTTTAATTCTCATATTTTGATATTTTGAGATTAATAAGTGACTTGGCTGGCTTGCATAAAGTAAAGTAAGTAAAACTTTATTTCTATAGCATTTCACAGACATATAGATCACAAAGTGCTTCACAAAGGCAAAACAATTAAAACAAACAAAGAAGAAAAAAACATAAGTAAAAACCTGTCTAAATAAAAATGTCTGTCTTTGTTTCTTAAGTCTGTGCAGCGTCGGGACAGTGGGAGGGCGTTCCAGAGCCTCGGAACCACTGCCCGAAAAGCGCAGCCTCCACAGGTTTTAAAACGGGTTCGGGGTACAGTCAACAACATTTGACTCGAGGACCACAGAGTCCCAGATGAAGCTAAAGGATCCAAAAGGTTAAGAATGTATTTAGGAGCCTGGCCATGAATAGCCTTGACAGTTAAAGCCAAAATTTTAAAGTGAATCCTCAAGTTCACAGGAAGCCAGTGCAGGGAGGCAAGAGCAGGAGTTCAGTGAGCCCTTCTGTCAGTTTTAGTCAGCAGCCTGCTGCAGCATTCTGTACAGACTGAAGGCGAGCCAGGGAGGTTTAATTAAAACAAATAAAAAGACTATTACAGTAGTCTAAGTGGGAGGAATTAAAAGCATGAATAGCCATCTCTAGCTCAGTCTGTGACACAAAAGGTCTCAACTTAGAGATGCTCCTTAAACGATAAAAACTGCTCCGAACAAGAATTTTACGATTGTCAAAAGACAAGGCTCTGTCAAAGATGACGCCCAAATTTGTGAGACAAGTTTTCACGGTAGAAGCTATTTTTTGATTAAATGAATCTTATTGTCAGGGGAAATAATAAGAGGGTATTGTTTGCATTTAACTGCAGATAGTTGTTGTCCAGCCATGATTTGATGTCAGACAGACAATTGTTGAGATCAGACAGTTTGTACATCTCAGAAGGTCGAAAAGAGCAATACAACTGAATGTCATAACATACAGATGATAAGACAAATTTTATAGTGTTTTAGGATAACTCCCAGACAATATAAATACAATAAAAAGAGGATCGGGCCCAAAACTGAACCTTGAGGTACCCCACAAGACAGTGGTGCGCTATCAGAGTAAACCTGGTTCATAAAAACAGAAAAAGACCTTTCAGATAAGCAAGTAATAATAATAAGGCTTCTTTTAAGTGCTATGTGTTGTCATCATTGTACGCTCCCATAGATGAAATAGCTTCTCTGCATTTAACCCATCACACCTGAGGTACAGCCAGGTGGAGCAGTGGACAGCTATGTAAGCACCCTGGGTGCAATTGGGGATTAGGCGTCTTGCTCAGAGACACCATTACACAAATTTGTGAACTTTCTATCAAATGTCTGGGGATTGAACCTGGGACTATTGGGTCCCGAGTCTGCTGCCCTACCTCTGCCCCATCTCGGCCCCCAGCATTGTCCTTTTGGATATCGAGGCGTTTTAATTAGAGAACCACTCTGTTGTCAGACCTACAGAGTTTTGTTGACATAAATAAACCCATTCTTGTTTTTACCAACATACAGATCAGCTTTTGTGAGAGTGGTGGTTTAGTGTACTCCCTTATCTTGTCTTGTGGTTTCAGGTCCGATGTTGGGAGGTGCAGGACAATGGACAGACTGTCCCCAAAGCCCAACAGATGCACACAGGTCCAGTACTGGACGTTTGCTGGAGTGATGTAGGTGTTACCGTACAAAATAAAAACACTGGCTGTCATCTTAAGAAAACTTGACCTTTTTTTTCTTCTTCTTTTCATTTGACTCAACCAGGATGGGAGTAAAGTCTTCACTGCATCTTGTGACAAGACAGCCAAGATGTGGGATCTGAACAGCAACCAAGCAATGCAGATTGCACAGGTTGGACGGGACTTTACAAGATCTGCGATGTGCTCATGAATGGCATGTCACACTTCTCATCCTTTTTTCTTTACAGCACGACGGTCCAATTAAAGCGATCCACTGGATAAAAGCCCCCAACTACAGCTGTGTCATGACAGGCAGCTGGGATAAAACGCTTAAGGTACAAATGCCATCTTTGAAAGTCTGTCTGATGTATGACATGATGATGTTTTGGTGTCAGCTTATGTAGCATTTAGAAACACGTTTTCTGTTTTTTAGTTTTGGGACACCCGCTCCCCCAATCCTATGATGTCCCTGCAGATGCCTGAGAGATGCTACTGTGCAGACGTTGTAAGTAACTTGTAAAAATCATGATGAATCAAGGTCATTTTCATGCCTACTCGTAGATTAATTAATTGATAATATGTTGCATTTGCTCCCCACCGACTGTTGTATGTAGGTGTACCCCATGGCGGTGGTAGCCACAGCTGAAAGAGGCCTTATAGTGTATCAACTAGAGAACCAGCCCTCTGAGTTTCGCCGAATAGACTCCCCTCTCAAACATCAGGTGAGATGTCCTCCATAAAATATTTTCTTTTATGCTGTTGTATCTTTTTAAACAGACCTTTAGTTTTTGACTCAGTACCTTTTATAATGCTCAATCTGTTCTTATCCCACAGCACCGTTGTGTCGCCATATTCAAGGACAAGCAGAACAAGCCGACAGGTTTTGCACTTGGAAGCATTGAGGGCCGAGTGGCGATTCATTACATCAACCCTCCAAACCCGTGAGCGAAGCAGCACCCTTCTCACGAAAACGCTAATTATTCTGTAATACATCGGTATAGTGTTTTTTGTTTGGACCTGGAGCAAAATAAGACGTGAATGATTTTGTGATTCTCTTCAGAACCAAAGATAACTTCACCTTCAAGTGCCACAGGTCCAATGGAACCAACACAACCACTCCACAGGACATTTATGCTGTAAGTCCTTCATTCCATAGTGTATGATTCGCTCTTGTTTTTGACCATCTTCACTAAAAAACGGATGATTTTCCAGAAGTTTTGTCTTTTAATTAAAAATAAAAATGAAACAAATAAAAATTAATTTAAAAGAACCCATTCTGTTAGAGATAATTTATTAACAATTCCAGGAAGGCGCGATTTTTATATATACTATAAGATATTTTGTTGTTGTTGTTGTAATGGCTCAAATCTGTGTCGCAATAATAAAATTAGCTAACAAAGTTAAATCAGGTCTTCTGGACAGATTCTTCTTTATTGAAACGTTTTGTATTTTATCCAAAAGACTTCTTCAGTCTGCGGAGCTGCAACAAACTCAGTCTTATAAACAGCACATATTCATAGTGGATCCACCAGATTGCTGTTGACAGCCAGAACTAGCTATTCACGTGATAAAGTGGGATCATCAGCCTAAAAATGGATCATTAGTGCCCTGATGGCTGTTTACTACTCACAGAGGGCTGAGTGATACTAGCAATCACAGCATTGTAAGAGGGGGACAGTTGAACCCGGAGGCCTCCACCCCTGTTTAATGATGGACGATTTCTTTTCACAAAGATGGCCTCCTTTACTCCTCTCTCAAACCATCGTTCCTCTCTATCAAGGATGTGAACATCTTCATCCCTGAAAGAGTGACCGCTGACCTGGAGATGAGTGTAGACCTTAGAGTCCTGGCCTGATGATGTTGATCTTCTGTGCTGGGCCATCCTTTTGGCCAGTGGCTGTTTAGTTTCCCCGATGTAAGACTGATCACAGCCCTCCTGACACTGAACAGCATACACAACATTACTCTGTTTGTGCCGGGGGACTGGATCTTTGGGATGAACCAGTCTTTGCCGTAATGTATTTTGGGGTTTAAAAGCCACTGGGACGTTATGTTTAGAAAATAAACGTCTCAGTTTCTCTGATACTCCCTCAACATACGGAATGACCACTGGTCTGGGTCTGGGTTCCAGTGGCTGCTGTGAATAGCAAGCAACCATCAGGGCACTAACGATCAATCGTTAGGCTGATAGTCCTCCTTTTGCATGTGAACAGCTGGTTCTGGATGTCAACAACAAACTGGTTGATCCACTGTGAGAAGGTGCTATTTATAAGACAAGAGTTTGTTGCAGCTCCTCAGATTAGCTATGTTTACATGGACATAAGTAATCGGATCAAACGGCCATTCGGAATAAAAACGCGTCATGTAAATGCCCCGTTAGGATTATTTTTTGTTTATTCAGCGTGATCCGAAATAATTTGTGATCAGAACGAAACGGGCGGTTTACGCCGATTCATAACCCGAACGGTGTCCATGTAAACGCTTGATCTGTTCATTTTTATCTGATGGTGAAAAACTGACCTGACTGTGCCTGTGCAACTTTGTCATTTCTGCCTGGCTAATGCTAACAATATTAGCATGTCGGGGAAGCAAAACTGGTCGGTGAGCGACACAACATTTCTACTAAAACTTTGAAAGAGCTCAAAATGATCTGTATTACCTGCAGCTCAGTCAGGGAGTGCAGTAACGTCTCCACCATCATTAAAACCTGTCACGGGTCCATTTTGGGTGCTCAGGTTTGTTTACGTTCACCCGGAAGTAGAACTTCTTCTTCTGTGGTTTCTTTTAAGGAGAGTTTACCACTCTGCACATGTCAGTACTGCTGTTCAGAACAAAGCCTGCTGCATGTAAACGCACGTCGTGAACAGATTGTGCCCATGTAACAATACATTCAAATTATTTAATCTGAAATCATTTGAATCCAGTCAAAGTATTTTGCGCATGTAAACATAACTACTGAAGAAGTGTTTAGGATGAAAGACGAAACATTTCAACAAGAAGAATCCGTCCAGAGGACCTGACTCAACCTTGTTAGATCTACCTGGATTATGGAGCATGCATCAATACAGATTATAAATTAAGTTTTTTACTGCGGTCCTCAGTGTTTTTGTCTTTAGATACAGTCAGTATGCTTGATATGGTTTCATAATCCAACATTTTTCAGTCAGGTCATCTGGACAGTTTCTTTTTTTTTGTGTGTGCTGAAGCGTTTCACCTTCCATCCAGAAGGCTTCATCAGTCAAGGAAACACACAACACAAAACTGATTCTTCCCCCACCAGCTTACTCCAAAGTTGAACAAACCAGTTATGTTGGTGCTAAGATGGTGTCTTTGGCACACCCCCTCCTCCTTTTGGATGGAAGGTGAAACGTTTCAGCACAAACAAAATAAACTGTCCAGACTGAAAATTGTTGGATTGTATACCTGGATTATTGAGCATGGACTTGGTTGGTTTCATAATGTTTTCTTTTTTACAGACCGTTACAATATATTTAGTTTAGTTTACTAACTAGTCTAATCGTGTTTCCCTCTGCTGTTTTCAGGTGAACGCCATCTCCTTCCATCCTGTCCATGGCACTCTGGCCACTGTGGGCTCAGACGGGCGCTTCAGCTTCTGGGACAAAGATGCCCGCACCAAGTTGAAGACCTCAGAGCAGCTCGACCAGCCCATCACAGCTTGCTGCTTCAACAACAACGGCAACATCTTCGCCTACGCTTCCAGTTACGACTGGTCAAAGGTACGTGGCATAAAATCGCAACAAAAGTTGTTTACCTCTTGTTGTTTACCTCTTGTTGTTTACGCTGTCATTTCATTTGAACCCCATGCGTCCCTCAGGGCCATGAGTACTACAACCCCCAGAAGAAGAACTACATCTTTCTGAGGAACGCTGCAGAGGAGCTGAAGCCTCGAAACAAGAAATGGTGAGAGAAGAGCAGCTGCCGTCCTGTTAGCATGGACCCCGTGGTCACTGGACGGGGCTCTGAGTGAGGGGCGGGGGGCCTCTGGTGCATGAGTGTAGTGAGGGTTGTGCCCTGAGTCACATTTCATATACACTTTACAAACTTCACAGACGTTTTGTAGATTTTTTTATTTTTTATAATTTCTACTTAAATATGATGAAATCTTTGTGCTTCCACAACTGGGAGCAAAGGACACAAGACAAAGCCTGAAAGATCTCAAATTTTGTAAAGTATGTTTTTATTTAAAGTGTTTATTTTTTTAAGTTATTTATTGGATAAATGTACATAAAATAAATTATGTTAGTCGTATTTTGTAAGGAGGCAGCACGGTGGCACAACTGGTAGAGCTGCTGCCTCTCAGTGAGCAGGTCCCTGGTTCAAATCCCGGTCCGGGGGCCTTTCTGGGTGGAGTTTGCATGTTCTCTCCGTGCATGCGTGGGTTTTCTCCAAGTACTCCAGTTTCCTCCCACAGACCAAAAACATGCATGTTAGGCTGATTGGTAACTCTAAATTGTCCCTAGGTGTGAGTGAGAGAGTGAATGGTTGTTTGTCTCTATGTGTCCCTGTGATGGACTGGAGACCCATCCAGGGTGTCCCCCGCCCCTCGCACTGTGATTGCCGGACATGGGCACCGGTGACCCCCCTGACCCAAAATGGAAGAAGCGGGTAAAGATAATGGATGGATGGATATTTTGTAAAGATGAGCAACAATTAGCAAAAATCAACCTAAGAATTGAAAGCTCTGTGCTAGGGATGCATGATATTAGATTTTTGGCAGATTTCCGATATGTTAGCAAAACTTATCTGGCCGATAACCAATATTTTATATACTTTCCTTTATTAGAACATAGCCCTCTTATTTAGGCTTATTTGCTACAAAAAATGTGCAACATCTGTAAGAGCTGGTGACATATATTCAGTAACAGCCATGTGATATGCATAACACTTTAACTTATATTAAATGAAAAGTGTTAAATGTTGTTTATTAGCATTAGTCACCTGCGATGCTGTCTCACTTGTGGAGGCTTGTTCCAGGTTCCTATAGCTGCAGTGTGGGATCCTCTGCACTCCTGTGCATGAAGGACAGACTTTTTAAGTTCAAAGTTTTTGTCTATCCATTGTGCCGTAAGACTAATCATGCTAACGGGGCTAACACGACGTTCAAACGTCTGTGGTAAAACTCACCCAACAAGTCATGCTATCGGCTATTAGCTTCTCAATGCTGTCTGAAATGACGGCTTGTAACTCTGGTAACATTACATCGGAAAAATATCTGACTGCTGACGATGTAGTGAGGCTCAACATAGTCCATAAATCTTCAGACTCTGACATCCTCACCAACGAAAAATAAAACTTCCACACCGCCGACATTTTTGAATTTTTCTCTCTGCCGTGAGATTGGGTAGGCGCACGTGATGTCATCGCGTTGTGCTGCCGCAGCAACGTCATCACGTTGTGCTGCCACTGCAGGTAAAAACAGCATCTTTTATATCGGCGAGTTATTTTAATGGAATGGCTGATGTCCGATATTGAACTTTAACGCTAATATCGGCCGATACCATGTCGATAATATTGTGCATCCTTACTCTGTGCAACTTACTGGTGTTTTTATGGTTGGATCTTTGCAAAGAAAAGAGCTGCTTTCCAAAATAATAAAACAAAAATGGAAGCCTTGTAAATTAGTCACTGATTGCTTCTTCCTGTCTCTAGATTCAACATACCAAGTCACATCTGTGAAGAAATGCAGACCTGCTGCTTTACTGTGTGTACGCTGGAGATCGACCCCTCGCTTTGAACAAATGCCTGGACCAACGCTGTGGCGCTGCGTACTGCACATTGACCAATCACCGGGGCCTGTCAGCTGCATGATTACTGGTCTTAGGGGACATCATGTTGTATTTGTTGTCGATCTTGATGTGTTCATTTTCTTGCGTTCAGCTCATTTCCCCCTCTTTACTGTTTTACAAAGGTTTTTCAATTTGTTATGAGTTGTTGCAGCTCCATTAAAGGTGTTGAGATTCAAAATAAGTGCAAACTCTTCATAGTTCATGTGTTCGTTTCTTTTATCTTGTATGTTTCTGGCATTAATGATCAGTTTGAACTGACCTCTGCTCCAGTGACTCATCTTACTGGCCCGTTTTGATCCAAGTTAACCAGCAGAGGGAGCGTTCTGCCCATCCTGTTCCTGTTGCATGCAGGCACAACCAGGATCCCAGTCCAGTGGACTCAACTGGTCAAATGGGATCAAAGCTGTGGGACTTGTCCCCCCATTCATGGGGGGGAGGCTTGCAGGTGATCAAGAGGATACGAATGGTAGCTTCAAAGGCTGTGAGTGAAAAGTGAAGTTGTCCACGGAGTAAAAGTGTGAGCCAAGTGTTTTTATTGAGGTCATTAGAGTGTCACCTCTGTGTCAGCCTGACCCTGGGTACTTAGCAGTGGAGCTCCAAGACTCTGAGGGTGGGGCGGACCACCGCTGTCAGCTTTCAACGGGATTGTGTTCATGTTAAAGGCCTGTGTCTGACTTCTAAACTACAATCAGTTCACCTTTAAGAACCAGAGGGTTTGAGCAGTTGTAGATTAAAAAAACAGCTGATGGTGAAACACGTTGTTTTAGTTCCTGTAGGGGGGAAACCGGTTTGCATCATACCTTTTATTTTGGGGGTGGACCATGTAGTGAGGTGCACCCTACAAGATCAAACATCTTGGCTTTGCACCCAACAAAACAACCGTCAGGAGACGACACCATCCAGAGATCATCCCTGACTGCAGATGACCTGCTGTCAAACAATGATGGAAGTATTGATGTGTGTACTGCAAGTGATGCACTACTCACAGTAGACCTGATCAAACGGGTAAAATATTACAGTACAGATGTTTCAGAGGATGAGGTTGACCAGTGACAACCAACATCAACAGGCTGATGGTGGATACTGGACTCCTCAGAATGAAGTCAGCCATGATGGATCGGAGCTTGTGGTGAGACATCTGTTGACATCCAAGAAATATGAACTATTACATTCATAAGGATTAGCCTGTTGCTTGTGGGTTTCTAAACAAGCAGAAGACAACATGGCAAACGATACACAAACATTAATACACTTCCAACTTGTTCAGTAGAATAACTTGTAAATTTATCTTAAAATACTTTGTTGTATTTATATTGGTTGTACACTATTCAACACTTAGCTGGACGATTTGCAATTCTTTATTAGTTGGAAGCCTCATATCTTTATTGATTTTTATTAATTAAAGTCACACATACATGTAATATATATAAATGTACAACAGATATAAGAAGTCACTTCTGGTGAAAGTCTAAGAAATAACTTAAAGCATTAAAAGTTGAGAAGTTTTCCTCATTTCTGTGGTAATAGGCTCTGTGCACAGAGCCTATTTAAGTTCAAACTTTGAAGTCCCTGCTTGAATCTTTTGGTTTTACTTTCTGCCCTTTTACACGGTGCCTGCCACAGTTGTAAAGTGACGTGACTGGACATGTCGGTATGCTGACAAGAACATTTATGAGGGACTGGTCAAAAGCCGGGAGGATTACCTCCCTGCAGTCCACCATGTGGCGTGTCCCTCAGGACAGAGCCGCTTTTCTTTGTGTGAAAAGGACAAAAGCAGGTGCAGTAAAGTGCCGGCAGAGGCTGGGCCAATGGGAGGATCCGCTTTTCAGTTTTGGTGTCGGTGCTCTACGCTGATTGGTCAATAGTTAAGCAAAGGCGGAGCTTAAGTGGTACTCTATAAAACCTCCCGGCGCGCTGTTGCTTAGCTGCTAAAACGCAACAAGCCTAGCTGCCTGCGGTCGGCGTGAATCACAGATGTCAACAGGTGGTTAAAACTTTAACTAAACAACACCGAGCCCGGAAGATTCTATAGCTCTTTGCTTTTCGATGCTTGGAAACCGTTAGCCGTCGTAGTTTGTAGTGGTTTGTGTGGCTCGGTGTTCGCCGGCTGACCAATGCTTCTTCATCAGTACATGAACGGATCCCTGGAAGTCATGCCTCCCACGCCGCTTCAGAAGGACACCACGTTCACCAAGATCTTCGTCGGCGGGCTGCCTTACCACACCAACGACGCCTCTCTGAGGAAGTACTTCGAAGCCTTCGGGGACATCGATGAAGCCGTGGTGATAACGGACCGGCAGACCGGGAAGTCCAGAGGATACGGCTTTGTAAGTACTGGCACCCACCACGTTTAATCCAGACTTCCTGGTTCTACTGTAGCTTTGATCCAAGCACGTTTAAACTACTTTGATTACTTTAATGCAGTCTTTCTGAGGTGTAGGTCAAAGGTGACACCCCCCCCCCCCCCCTAACTACACAGCTCCTCTGTTTTTGTTGTTTTTGCTTGACTGGCTGGTATTCTGGTCTAATGAGGATGAAGGATCTCATAAGTTGATGGGTAACTAAGAAGATTATAATTCAACATATGTCTGATGCCCCCCACCTCTGAGACACCCCCTGCTCCTGCAAAGACACCTCCCCTCCCCTCCTGTCCTGAGCAGACCCAGCTTATGGTGTGTGCTGGTGTGTGTGAGGCAGTGCTTGCTTTATATGGTTCTTCAGAGCATTGGGGCGGTTGACCTTGCACACCCTGCCCTCCATTGTCAGGGACCACGGGACATGATTTAACATCTCGTCTCGCCTGCTGGGAGAACATCAACAAGTTGTCTGCGTCTTATTTTAGACGCTTGCTTCATTTTCCCTTTTGATCTTATCTGGTCATGAAGAGTTTGAGTTCATTTTAAGCTGCTCTGTCGTCCCAGTTCACTGTTCCAGAACGTGAAATGGAGAAATAAGAAAAAGTCCAAACCTTTTTTTTTGTTTTTGTTTTTTTAAATCCACATTAATGATGGCCCTTCCTGGCGTAGACACACAAAGAACAGAAGCAGCACACACACGGAAAAATGCAAATATTTACCAGACGTTTGGAACGCTCCAGTGTGCTATCAGGCCACAGAAGGGATGGAAAGCAGTTGTGTGTGTGTGTGTGTGTGTGTGTGTGTGTGTGTTTACCTCTGAAGGGGAAAATTGTGGGACAATTGCTCTTTGTTTACACATCGGCTCATGGAGTCAGGGAAGCTGCCCCGTGAGTCGAGCAGGTGTGGAACTGCGTGTGGAGGCCGGTGTTTCAGGTTCCGCAGGCTCCCGGCAGCGTGGGTGCTTCCCAGGATGAACGCAGGAACTGTCGAGGTTTTAGACCCTGGTAGCTTTTCATTCTGTTCAGAGCGGTGGCTTTGTGAGGATGAGGAGGAGCCCACAGCTGAGCACACCTTTTTTTTGTTTTTTTTCTCTCTTCTGTCTAACACACTTCAGAGGTGGATTAGTGGACACCCCCCCAACACACACACACACACACCGTGATAATGCTCCTCAGTATAAACAGCCGTGATCCTTCCTGTGTGTGCACAACACGGGCCCTGCCGTGGGCTTTGTTCACCATCACTCCACTCCACTGAGCCGTCCTGTGGGAGCGTGCAGGCCGGGGCCCACGTTCACCGCTCGCTCCACCTGCAGAGGTGACTCCGAGATGGCAGAACGTGGCAATCATAACAGAAGGGCTCGTCTTAACGCCAGAAGGGAGGTGGGTGGGGGTGGAGTAATACCAATCTCCTTATTTTGGTCCTAATTGGATAATCTCCTTGTTGCTGGGATCCATATTTCATCGGCTCTGCCCTCGGCCAAGTCTGAAGACTGGCTGCTGCTGCTGCGGGCAGATTTATTCACGTTTTTACAGCTAATCATTCTGCTGCGTTTATGTTCTCCATCTTCTTTAGTAAAATGGAATAAACAAATACAAAGGTATAAAGCAGAGTTATTGTCATTAAATAAGTTTTTTTTACGGTTTAAAATCTAGTTTTCTCTAAAAATGAACCCATTGAAGGGCCGAGCTGAGTTCACCCGTGGGCCTGGTTTGGCCCCTGGACCGCCAGTTGAATAGCACTAGTTTAGTGGAGTTTTTCTAGTTCAATGAACCTGTTGAGTATGTTTTGTATACAACACCACAAATATTGTCGTCTAGATTAAAATGATAAACGATCGAATGTGTTTATGGTCACCAGGTGACGATGACGGACCGAGGAGCTGCAGAGAGAGCCTGCAAGGATCCCAACCCCATCATCGACGGCAGAAAGGCCAACGTCAACCTGGCGTACCTGGGAGCCAAGCCTCGCAGCATGCAAACAGGTGAGACGGAGCTGGGCGTACTGGAACCATAAAGTAATGATTAAAACCAGTACAGGGCTTTTATTCTGATTACACAATGGAATTGGGAGCACAAGTCTTGTGTTCTGACGTTTTAATGTCTGTAATTCATACAGAACTCGCATTTCCATGTGAAATCACATTCAGCTCTCCAGCTGCGCGCGCGCGCACACACACACACACACACACACACACACACACACACACACACACAC